TTAAAGTTTCAAGTTAGTGAAATATTATAATAATAAGTAGATATTTTCAAAATTTAAGTAAAATTATATATACAATTATATATATAATTATACATACAATTATTTATCATATAATTCATATTTAAAAAAGCATTTAAAATAAGATTGCCAGTATTTTGGACATTGTCAGTAATTGGGTCTTCTACTCAATACTGCTTGTTTTATTATTGTACTGCGGCTATATATTTCTAAAGAAGACTCAATTAATGACAGTGTCCAAAATACTGGCAATCTTATTTTAAATGCAGTTTCTTTGACCTCTCGATAATAATCGTTATGTAGCGTTTTTTAGTATCTTTTAGGCAGCAATCGTTTATTATAAATATGACCGTATAAATTTCAGCATTTGACCTCCAATATCTCGGAAACTGTTCATTTTTGGACCTCATGCTCATGAGGATTTTTGATCAGGATCTACATTATAGTAAAATTTTAATCAATTCGATTTGTGTAAGTTCCTATGATTTAGTTTTTACTAACACATCAAAAACCATGTAAAACTTACTGTAAAGGTTGCTGATGTCGATTATTTGGCGGTGCTGCGTTCTGAGTAGTCGATGTCGACGGCACACTCGCACGATGAATATGAACCTGATGCATTTGCAATTGATTGGCATCTTCGGCAAGAAACGGGCACCTCGAACATTGTCTCCTATTGTGGACCTTTAGAACGTGTGTTGCAAGTCGCTCGGCGCGCGCCGCTTTGTACTCGCACAGGGTACAAGCAAAGGGTTTCGTATGGGTATTCATATGTCGTTTTAAACACCAGTTATCAACGCCAGTCCATGAACAGTACATGCAGCTGTATCTTGACAGAAATGCTCCAATACATGCATTGTTCGGAAAATTCATTTCAAATTTTGTTAGCTCAAAATTATATACAGAATATATTGCGAAATTTCCGACTATCTGATGTGAAAGTCTAAAATTGTCTCTAAAAATTTATTTTTAAAAAATGTTCCTTCGATTTTTTACTGAATTATTCACAAGTTAAATAAAAAGGATATTCCGACTTTTATTTTTTGCTCGGTTAAAAATCGTATCCCAATTAAAGATACATTTTTTAAATTAAAACTTTGCTCTATCGAATGATATAATTGCTAATTTTATTAAAAAATAGAACATGTATAAATTTAAGCTAAAAATATAACATTACTTTCCTTGTAATCATTGCACAATGATTAGAAAGAAAATAATATCATATTTTTAGTTCAAATGCATATACATATATATTCTATTTTTTTTTTAATTTATAAAACTCGATAAAGCAACGTTTCAATCTTAGGAATCTGGTTTTTTAATAATACGATAATTTTTAACGGAGTTATGAGCAATTAAATCCAAATGCTTCTTTTTACTTAATTCAAGAACAAAAAATCATACATTTTCAAAAAACGATTTTGTAGGGA